AAAAATTTTGAAAATTTCATAATAAAATATTTAAAATTTCCAGCTTCAGCCGTTTCCAGCTTCAGCCGCAACATATATTTTTTTATTACAGTATTATATTTGAGTTAAGTAACAAAATATTACAAATAACAAAATCATTTTTTACCATTTGGGCTAAATCAATTATTTAATTACGTATTAATTAAATATAAAATAATTTAAACGGAAAAATAAAACATTCAGGATCGATCTACATTATACAAATGCACAGAATGATAAATTAGGTTAATTAAACCTTTTTCCAACTTTTTCGCTCCTGGACCTTAGAATTTACCCAAATATCGAAACGTATACGTACGTACGTATGTTTTTTTTTTTTTGATATGTCGAAATGATATCGATATGATGTTAATAAAGTATTTAAATGAATCAGGTGATTATTATACCATCATATATAGTGATCAATGATTATCAATACATAGCGATACTCGAATTTATAAAATAACGCATATTTCTCGATTTTTGAATAACTTTTATACATCGATATATATATTTCTATTTCTTAGTAATAAACAAATTTCACTTTTAGTATTCTCTGAGTAGAGTTATATAGAATTTCGAAGTTCAATTAACGTTCAGGTCAACTCCTTAACTCTTCCAAAAACAGAAAGAGACTAACCCCCCTGTCGCACATTCTTCATCCGCTCATAGAATTAAGAAGAATACTTTTTTCCGATTACCGTTCTTCTATGTAAATAATTTTTATTGAAGTGGAAAATCCCTTCATTTCTCCTGAATATAAGGGTTCAAAAAAAATTATTTTCTGGTAATTAATGACTATTAATGAATGATTATATCTATTTTTCCTTGTAACTTTATATGGTTCAATTGAACATATTCTTTAGCAGTACAACTGCTAAGTCAAAAAACCTTAATTTTTTTTTTCTTTTGGTCTCACTTCGTGCCTTTTCAATTGTACTTTTAGTTTTTTTTTAATATTACCCGTCCACGAACCTGACAAACGAGTCTTAATTTCAAATGGTAAGAACCTTTCAATTTACTGCATAAGCATATAACCATATTAATTTCTACAATTTTGAATGCATATAGCCTAGACGCGATCCAGACGAAGAATATACTTTACTTGAAAAACTTGGCACAGGATCTTTTGGGACTGTTTATAAGGCGTACGTATTATATAAACCGTTTTCCACATATCGTGCATATACTATTAGTATTTATGCTATATGCGCCTTTTTTTCGTGCTTTTAAATTTTTGTGTTTTATTCCCCCAAATATCTTTTTATTTAGCATAAATAATGACACCAAGAAAGTGGTTGCCATCAAACAAATTGATTTAGAAGATTCTGATGATGATATTAGTGAGATACAGCAAGAAATCGCGGTGTTATCACAATGCGACTCACAATATATCACTCGTTACTATGGCTCGTTTGTCAAAGGGTTCAAATTGTGGATCGGTATAGTGTTTCTTTTAACATATCTGAGGTTCAATTATATGTTTTGTTTTAGTGCGCGTTATTTATATCTTTTTTTTCTATCAGTTATGGAATACCTCGCCGGTGGATCATGTTTAGACCTAGTGAGTGTAACTGCATTATATGATACTTCAATTTTTATTTAAATAAATGTCTTTTACTTATTAGTAATTCTTTATAGCTTAAACCAGGTCCATTTGATGAACATCATATTGCTATTGTTCTTCGTGAACTTTTACGTGGTTTAGAGTACTTGCATGTTGAAGGAAAAATACATAGGGATATAAAAGGTATTCTTCAAGATTAATTATAAATTTCTCTGAATCGTTAATATTAATATTAATATTTATTATTAATATTAGTATTAATAAATATTTATTATTAATATTAGTATTAATATTTATTATTAGTATTAATATTTATTATTAATATTAGTATTAATATTTATTATTAATATTAATGTTAATTATTAATTATTAAAATTGATAATTTTATTCCTTTTCAATTTATAGCTGCCAACGTTTTGCTTTCTGATGAAGGAAAAGTAAAATTAGGTATTATATCCATTGATAATCTTATTATTTATAAAGCTTGTTTTTTTCTTGCATATAATTGCATACTGATAAACAATTCTGCAGCCGATTTTGGTGTCGCTGCTCAACTTTCAAATAATAAGAGCAGGCGAAACACATTTGTTGGAACCCCTGTAAGCATTTTATATTATTATTAATTATTTAAACTTTGAATATTGTATTTAATTTAAATCTTTTTATAGTTTTGGATGGCACCGGAAGTTATTAGACAGGCCGGATATGATCACAAGGTTTATATATATATATATATATAGATAGATAGATAGATAGATAAATAGATAGATAGATATATGAGGGAGGTCAATAGAAAACAGGCAAATTATTTTTTGTAACTTTTTAAAATTTCAATTCAAATATCTCAACAAATATTAAACCAAACTTGATAAAATTTTTTATTTTAATTCTATAATTATATAGAATTAAAATAAAAAATTTTTATTAAGTTTGGTTTGATAATTAAAATATTTGAATTAAAAGTTTAACAAAAATTTTACTTAGAAAAAATTTACCTATTTTCTATTGACCTCCCCCATATATCTATTACGTTTATTATTTATAAATTTAAATGTCCAAGATTATAAGAAAGGTTTAAATGTTTTTCTTCATATTTTAATAGGCAGATATTTGGTCTCTTGGAATTACTGCAATTGAAATGGCCAGGGGTGAACCTCCATTGTCAGAATACCATCCAATGCGTGTTCTATTTTTAATCCCAAAAGCAAGATCTCCAGTACTAGAAGGAAATTTTTCTAGTGCTTTCAAAGATTTTGTCAGTTTATGTGTGATGAAAAATCCGAATGACGTAAATAAATGATAATTTATGTGTTTCATATTATTCGATCTGGCTTTTCTTATGTAGAATTTCTTACACAAATTAGCGACCAACCGCCAAGGATTTATTGCGACATCGTTTTATAAAATCTGCTCGTAACACTACACAATTACAAGAATTGATTGAACGATATAGTAATTGGAAATCTAATGGCGGAGAAAGGGCTGAATCTGCGTCTCAAAAAACGTGAGTGGTTAAGTTACTTTTTGAGAATGGTTTGTTATTAGAATAAAGGAACGCAAATAGTAATTTATCTATTTATGATTTTATTTATTTATTTGTTTATATTTATAAGTAAGACTATTAATTATGATACATCAAGTATTATTTGGGATTTTGGCACAATAAGGAAAGTACATCAAAATGGCACTATTCGATTGGACCATATGACATTGAAAGAATTGAGAAGATTGGAGCGTAGTTCATCTGTAAGTTTGTGATCTGGGAATTTATAATTATTTAAATTCAGTAGTTATTTGAATTCAGTAGTTATTTGAATTCAGTAGTTTTTGAATTTAATGGTTATTTGGATTCAATAGTTATTTGGATTCAATAGTTATTTGGATTCAGTAGTTATTTGTTAATTTAATAATTATTTGAACTCAATAGTTATTTGAATTCAATAATTATTTGAATTCAATAGTTATTTGATTTTAATAGAGCATTTAATTCAATTATTCTTATGTAAAAATTTTTCAGGCTTCAGCTTCAAACAATGCTACTGTTAAGTTATCCGACCTTTTGGTAAGTTTAAAATAATAGAAATTAAATAATTATTGTATATAGGTTACGCCAAGGGAAAACCTGACTCCGGAATTTTAAGTTTATTATTGATCGGACTCAACTGATCAAATTTATTAGGAATTGAGTCTGGTTTTTCCTTGACGTCACCCATATTTAAATGAAGTATTACTAAATTTATAAATCCCCCTTGTATTACTCACTTATTAAAGCGTGAGAACGCTGAAGTTAATTCTTTAGGTATCACAGAAGCGCAAACTGAACAAGCCACTACAAATAATAATAGCAATGGCACAACAAATTCTATAAATATAATGAATGAAGAGTAAGTAACAATGTGTATACTTGTAAAATAGTGAAACAAATAAATTCCTTATTTATATATATTGTTTTTTAGACTTGATACTATACGGGCGCCCAGACCATTTAGTATCACTGACGCTTCTCTTTCAAGGTTTTCGAGAAACATTACGATCGTTGAACCAGTGACAGAAGAAGGGGTCGTTGGAAGACAACTCGTAAATGACATTATCCTTCCGTCTGTAGCGAAGGTTTGTTGTTTTTTTAATTACATACTCTTATCATTCATGTCTTAAGTTTTGCAAATAATTAATACAATTAATGTGATAGATCAAATCAAATGATCTGAGAGCGAATGAAATTGAAGCTTTGAGTATATTTGAAAATAGTGTTGAAGAGCTTGATCGTGTTAATCCTGACTTGGTTCTTACAACATTAGTAGAAATATTAAACCGGCTAAAAACGTAACTATGTTGTTATTTATTTATTTTTTTTATCTATAGATTTATTTACTGTACACATCACTGACTCTTATTTTATAATATAGCAATGTTGAATTATGTGACAAATTATCGGATCTGGGTGTTGTTTCTGATGCATTTTTAACAACTCCAGAATTAGTGCTAGATGCAGGTTCGTCGTCCTCATCCGATCAAAATTCATCTAAAAATTCGTCTGATACACCCGTAGAAGAGAATTCACCAAAGTCCCCGATCTCTGAAATGTTATATATTAGATGGATTGAACAATTAAGATTCAAGTGGCCTATAAGTTTTGGATCCAGTGGGTCATAAACAATATATACAGTTCTTTGTCTTTTGGGGGAGCATCTTTTTAATTGGGTAGGTAAAATACTATATCTTGGAAATGTATAAGCAAAGGACATTAGGAATTATACCATCATACACCAACATATACCAACCATGAACAATCGTTTTATGATTTATACTATTTCAGAAAAAAAATGGTATCTTGTATTATTCTAATTTCTCCTTTACTGTCAATTAATGTACAATATTATATATATGTTGTATTTTTGTTTTTTATTCAACCTGTTTTATCTCGAATTGTAGTATACATTCACTCATCACAAATTTTTATCGCAATAACTATCCCGAAAGGCAATATAAATATATAGCCGATAATAATATTTTTATTAAGTACTTTATTAAATAATTCTTGTATATCTTGTGTCAATTATTTTAAAATGGATTTATACTTGCCAACATACGAATTTTATGTTCTTCACCCGTAGTGATTATGTTGTACGCCGGAATGGAATTATTATGGATTTAGAATCAAGTTAGGTTGATTTCGAATAAACTTAGGTTGTAATAGAATTCTAAATCGTATTCGAATTGTTAAAGAATTCAAATTAACTTAAAATAAAATTAAGTGGATTCTAAATAATTTTATCGGGTGTATTGCTTTGGAATTTAAGTAACTTTAATATAAAGTTTATTTATAACGTAGTGCATCAATTAATTAAATTAAAAAGTATTACATAAATTTTTTACATTTATGGTTACCACAAAGCAAATTCATTTTTTTGCATTTACAATTATTTTTATTGCACGAACTTTTGCAATTACATTTAAATCTACTTATGAGATTGCTTCTCAAACGTTTATAAGCATCGAAAGAATACTATCCAATTCCGAAGACTTGTCAGAACCAAATGAACACAAGTAGGCTTTAGTCAAACTTGATAAGTTAGATTATAGGGTTTGTTGGTATTTAAAGATCATGTATAGCAAAGTTATTATTACTATATTATAATAACAAAATTTATTAAATATTTTTAATAAACATTAAATATACATGAATTACACTAATTTAATCCGTCTAATACTAACTCTAAAGACATCTCACCCAATACACATCGATAGCAGAATCATATATCCGAATTACCACCTTCAGCTGATCTCAATCACCTTTTTTTCATTCTTAGCTGTGTATATATTTCCATTTAGTTATCGGATTCCAATTCATTTGGTCCAATCAAATTATCATATCTATGGATTTTAAATACATAATTTTCTTTTTTATCCTTAGAGACTCATGTTATTTTTATAGCAAACTCACCTATCTGAATCATCACCTTCAACCGATCTTAATCACTATCCAAATATCTTTTTTTCATTCTTGTGTATATGTCTATTTAAATATCAGATTCTAAGTCTATTTTATCTATTCGAATTACTATACTGCAGATTTTAAATATTACACAAGTATTTTTTTTTCATTCTTGAATGCTTTTATATTATTTTTAATAGTAAAATCATCTATTCAAATTGTCATCTTCAAGTTTATTTTGTTTATTTGAATTATAACCTTTTGCTGATTTCAAATATTACTCAAGCACTTTGTTTTCATACTTGACTGTTGTTATTCTATTTATATTTTTCTAAACAAAATAATATCATAAACAAAGCTATAAGGTAATAAATAATAAATGAATATGATCTTTCATTTTTTAGATATTTTTAGCTATAATCAAGAAAAATCAGAAGAAATTATCTACAAGTTGTCTTAAATTTAGTACCAGAAACAATGGCTCAGATAGTAATTTTAAAAAAATCAAAACAAAATAATCTAATTTATATTATTGGAATTACTATTCGCACCATGATTTTTGCTATTTACATCATTGATTTGACTAGAATTAAACCCTAACTCTAGTCAAACTAATGATATTCTTAAGAGCGAGTTCGAAGAGTTAAAAAGATAACAAAACATCAAATCCCGTATTCGTAAATAACAACATACCCCTTCGACCAGGCACTAATCTCAAATTCCTAGTTGAGAAATCAACTGACATAAACCCACTCCTTGTTTGTTACCAAAATGTTCCGACTCAAGGTATGTAGCTGAGTCTTGGCAAATGCAGGATGATGAGAGTCATATCCTTTATGCTAGTTTCTTTTAGTGATTTGATCTCCTCTGAATTAAGATTATTTCTAAATAATTTCATGTGGTTGATAGTACTATTAAAGTTTTTTATGATCTCCTTATCATAAATACCCCATTGGTCTTTAAATATTTCAGGTTTTTTGACTGGTTCGTAGGAACATCGATATTAAGTAACTTTTTAAGGCGCCCCTTAAGATCAACATTTTGTTTAGGCAGCTAATTCGAAATTCCGACGTTCAACTGGTCTTTTAATGTACCTAAAAGGTTAGAAAAGCAGCATAGTAACCAAAAGATTACTTACAGAAAAGAATTATTCTATTAAGATTTTTGATGATCACCTTATCACTGATCTTTAAATATTTAAGATGAAAATAAACAAGATATTATTGGTATATTTATTTATTATTATTATATGTATTATAATTATAATATAAAATAAAGATTTCGCCCAAATTATGATCGGATTTTTTTAACCGTCTGTATACGTTTATGTAGTATGCGTTGAAAATGCTATTATATTTGGACAAGAAGCATCTTTCATTTGAACTTTTTTTTTGATCGTAGATGAGTTTGGATTCATAGTAGATTTAGTATGTTCGGGTTGTTTTAGTAGTGGACTATTTTGCCCATTTATCTTCTATATGCATATAATCTGTG